TGGGGAGGGAGGCAAATTGAGTCAAGAGAATGAAACACTTTATACCTGAGCAGCCCTGTGTCCTCATGTGCGTCGTGCGGTGCAGGCTTGGCGCAGTGTAGCCAAATAATTGATTGGGTTCTCTTTTCTTTGCATGGACACACAGCTTTCGTTTTTCTGGGAGTAACAGCTGTTTTTCTGAAATTTCCATCCAGGAGCTTTCACTTGTGTCCTCCCAGAAACCTGTCATGCTTTTTCTGGATGGACGCCCATAGGATTTTAATCCAGGCACACACACACACACACACACACACACACACACACACGAGCGTTTGCATACACAAAGTAAAAATAGGTCATGGGTTGACTTTTTAATTTGAGTTTGGGTTACTTTAAGGGCTCGGGACACAGTGGGCCACCGAACTGCCAAACCTGAGTCATGAGCAGGGACATCAGCATCCCTTAGTCAAGGGTTTATCCTTGAAGTTACAGAGATGACCCCGATATGCTTGAGGGCCACCCAGAGTCCAGCCCCAGGTTCTGACCCCTCCAGGCTTACCATGGTGGTGGGCTGTGGGATGGTGATATTCGGCTAAGAAGTGTGGTCCTATATCTCTGAATTACATGCAATTTTGGAAACCAGTGTTGTCTGGGTAAAAATATAATAAATTAAATGTTTTCCCAGAATGTTGCATTTTCTTCTCTTCCTAAAAAGCAGTTGTGTTTTCAGTTGGGGGGGCCTGCACTCCAAGAAGCTCAGAGGAGTCCCCAACTTTAAGGATTCCATCCTCCCACTTGTGGGTTGGCTATAAAGGTACATCCCTGGGCACTGCTTGCACATATCATTCAGTAGGTTTGGGGCCCAGAAAGGCATTTTATTCACTCCAAGGCAGTGTGATATAGGAGACAATAGACTGTTAAAAATGCTCATGGCAAGCAATAAGCAGCCTTATCAGAAACAAGATTTTTATATGTTACATTTGGATTTCATGTTGTTGGATAAATTCATTAAATTGATGCCTCATTATCAGGATTCCTGGCATTAACACCAGGTCATTGTGTTTATCTGTCTGATGCACACATGGTCACCAAGGAATTCCAAAACTGCAAGACAGATTTAGGCTTGGAATTGAAAGGGGGAAGAGCCCAGCGAGGTTGGTAAGGAAGAGTATGCACAGGCTTAGAAGTCAGACAGAACAGGGTTCAAATCCTGATCAACTGTATGGTGTGGACAGAGGATTGAACCTCTCTGCTACCGAATTATTTTAATCTATCACAACCTCCATGACAGAGAGATGAAGGACATTAAGAAAGTTTATGCACCGGATAAGTGGCCACTCAGTAAACTCTTCCCACTTGTAACAAAATATGCCACTGTTGTCCCCTGTAGGAGGCAGGACAAGGAGGCCTAACGTCAAATTGGCTTTTGGGGTTTGACTCTGTCCTGGATGCTAGTTGGGGTGGTGCAAAGGAGCCACCGACCTGAGGCCACCACTGACCACAGGGGCATTCTTACCTCCATCTTAAAAAAAAAAAGAAAGTGTGTGGGTTGGACATTTTATTTTTATAGCCTTTTTATAGTCTTCCCTCCAGGCCTTTGACCCATCGTTGTAGGTGTGAACGTGGGTTTCTAGGACCCAAAGGCCCTTGGTGGAAAGGAGGCTGCCGGACAGAGCCGGGTCTTGTCAAGGCTGCGATGTCCAGAACTCTCAGCAGTCCGCGGGGGTCCAACGGGACCCAGAGCAGTGGGGGTGGGGGCCTGACTAGGGCCAGGCCACTGAGTGTCTTGAGCCCTCTACTAGCCTCGGGGTCCAGGAAAGGGCCGTGGACCGGGATTTGGGACCCCACACCCACCCCACCTGCCGCGGTCTCTAAACTGTCTCTGGCAGAGCTTTGCAGGAAAGAAGGGTAAAACCCCCTCCTGGGGTCTGCTCTGGAGGATCCGAATTCCGAGAGCCGCTCTGGCTACCTAGTGTGGAAGCCCCAAGAGCGTGGGCGGCGCCTCTGGACCGCTGGGCCTGGAGGGGCGAAGCCCTCGGAGCTTCGGAACTGCAGCCTGGGCGTTTGCGCTTCGTGGGGAGTAACTAAGGAGCTGTCTGGATTTTGCCTAACCCTCACCCCGAGACTTCAGTACCCAGCGGCTCCGAGGACACACCGACCCCTCTCCTCTCCCTCTCGTCCCCACCCACCCGCCCTGGGGAACTCACTTCCCCAGGCGCGTTGGGCTTGGAGGCCGCGTTTGGGCGAGGAGAGCTGCCCCCCCCCTGCCCGGGCCCCGGGAGCCCGCCGCAGGGAGGACAGTGGCTTTGGACCATCTACCCAGCCCCACCCCGATAGAGTAAATGCCCAAGGTCGGTCTCAGGGCCAGAGGCGCTTTGCGAACCCCAATATAGGTGGGTTCTCCTCCCAGGCCTGGCGAAAAGGCATGGAAGAGGCAACCAGAGCTGGAGCGTGCGAAGAACCCGGCTCCCGGCCCCCTCCTGCTCCCTGAGGTTTGAGGGTCCCGCGGGACGGCGGCGGCGGCTGGGGGCCGAGGGGCGGGAAGGGCGCGCGGGGCCGGGAGCCCAACCACCCGGCGCCCAACGCACTTGCACCGGTCTCCCTCCCTCTCTCCCACCCGCTCGCCACGACCCCCGCCCCCGGCCCCCTCCCCTGCCCCGCCCGCCTCCGCCCCCATTCTTGGAATTGTGTGGAAAAATTCTCAGCCAAACCTCCCACCTCTCCTCTCCCCCCCCACCCCACTCCCTTTAAAAAACCCCCTTTCCTCCCCGGCCCTGCACTCTTTGTGAATGAGGGCAGGGAACGCGGCCCTTCCCCCGCCCAGGAGCCACGCCAGACCGCCGCACTCAGAGGACTGTTTGTTAATAGTCCAATTAGATAATTGCCATCTTTCACTCCTTTTGCTCCGCATTTCCCATAAAGGAATGAATGGGGAGAGCGGCGTGGAGAGGGCTTCTGCCCGGGCAAGGTGACGAGAAGGGCTGGAGCATGCTCCTTGCACAAGGCCATGCGCTTGAATTGAATCATTGTAGCCTAATCAATGCTCTTATTGGATTACTGGCTGTTGCTTTTCTCAAAGATATTGTAGCAGAGACAATGAAATAGCGAGGGGAAAACTTTTTTTTTTTTTAAGGCAGATCTCACAGTGGAGATTTTCTGCGCTCTCTCTCCCTCTCCCCCTCTCTCCTGCTGGACTCTCTGAGTACAAAGCTGCCCTTTGAATGGGCTGCCTCAGGGCCGCTGGGGTGCAGGCAAGAAAAAACCCAACTGGAACTAAATGAAGAGAGGGGCAGTTTAAGATGGCTGTCGGCGGCGAGGTGTGTTAAGAAGGAGTTGTTTGGGACGAGAGCTTGGCTTTTTAGAGTGTGGGGGAGATACTTTTTTGGGAAAACTTTTTCTCCACCCCCTCCCCCCCCAGGCAACCGCTTTCTTTTGCTGCAGGGTGTGTAGGGTTTCCCTCCCCCTCCCCCTCCTTCAGCTCTATCTGTGGAGTGTGGAGAAACACCCTCTAGCCAGTTTTGTGAGCAGGAGGGTCAAAGGCAACGGGAAAGTTAATAACGCCTGCTAATGGTACTAACAATTCAGGATGAATCTTGTCAAAAGTTTTTCTGGAAGTGTGGGTCTTTGATTGTGTGTTTCCTGAAAGCAAGACCAATCATTTCCGTTTATTCACTGGCTAAACCCCTACTTGATTGGGGACAAGGACAGAAACCATCCATTACGATCTGATATATTATCCAAACAATTTAGTGTATTCATGAGGTAACCGAAACGTGGGGGCTGCGAAATTACCCGTAATCAATTGCAGCAGCGAGTGCGCGTCCCCCCGGGTGTCAGACAACTACAACTGGCCGCCTCAGAGACCGGCAGGCGCCGCGGCGTTCGCGAGTTGCTGCTCGCTCCCTGATCGCCAGGCTGGGGACATTGCACGTGCTCGGAGGACGCGGACGCTGACGAGGCGCCTCGCCGCCACTCCGC